GGTCAGCAGTCAAGTGGAGTCCAGCAGCTGCTGTGGCATAGAGGGCAGGAAAACACAAGTGCATTCTTAGGGAATTTCCCTTTACCCCAGAAAGTCATCTCAGCTGTCCCCAGGGTGAGCTGAGACGACACAGCAAGGGGAGAGGGAATTTGTATCCCCCTCTCTACCTGATCTGCACAATGCAAATGCTAGGAGTGGTTCGGATCCCCTCAAATTTAGGTGGGCAAATGCTTGCCCGTAAGGAAAATAGGGCACTGCGTTCCCCCCCCAACACCTGGCTACGAGGCAGTCTGAGAACGGGGCTGAGCATCACACTGGCCTTGATCTCCCTCCCTGCCTCCCCACTTCCCCAGTGAAATCTGAAACGTGGCTATTTCTGCCAGCGCTGACAAATACCGTCACCTTTCGCTCCCTCCCTCGCGGGTGGCAGGGTGCAGCGCCCGGGACCACAAATGAATCATCGCTCGGCGGCTCCCGAGCACAGCAGTGGGAACGCGGCCACCCACGCCACGCCAGCGCCGCCGGGCCGCAGCCCCAGCTGCAAGGAGAGACGCCGGGGTCTGCATTGCATTTGGCTTTTATTGGGAAAACGGGAGTAAATACCAGGGGCTGCAAGGGAAAAAAGAGGAAAGCTGGCTCCGAAACATCCCTCTGGCTGCTGGCCATGCTGTCGTGGTGGCAGCAGCTGGGAGTTGGCAGCCCGGGGAAATCTCAGCTGGCCCAGCAGTGCCCAGGGTAGGGTAGTCCCAGGAAAGGCTGGGCAGTGCAGGGGCATGGAGAGGCAGAAGCTCAGTCAGGCTGGGGAAGCTCCTTCCCACACGCAGCCACAGCCAGGCTTTGGTCACCATCTCCACCAAAACTGCCCACTGCCAGCACTTCAGAGAATCTTCTTCCATGGAAAAACTCCTCTCTTGTTGACATCCGTCTCAGTTCACCTCGACAGGCAATAAAAAGTCTATCTGACAGGCAGTGACTGCTATGCAAAAGAGCTGAAAGATGAAGGGTAACTCCCTTGGGACAGATATTATGTCCCAGTTTCTTTGCAGGATCACAGCTCACTGGACATTGCAAGACCATTTTTCTATGTAAAGAAACCAAGCAACCTTCAGATACCACATGCCAACTTCTCTAGTACATGACTCGATCCAACCATCTTCACATCCTTCCTGCCATGCAGGCTGGCCCTTCTAGTTTTAATTCAGGATTCCATCTTTTCTTTGAGTAAATTGTAGGGCACTTTATCACACAAGTGTGTATGCAGTTTGTCCCCAAGGGAATAAGGGCGCCCTGCTATGAGCAAAGCATTGCATGTTTTAGCCAGGAGCTGTGCTCCCATTTCAGGGTGTCACTCGCTCTCCTCCCTGGACGCCAACCCTCGCCACCTCACTCCTCCATGGGCAACACATTCCAGAGCACAATCAAACCTATTGTGCAGCTCTAAAACAGTTTTTGCTTTAATCTGCTGGAGGGAACAGCACAAGGGTTTTTATATTCTAATCCAATAAATCTACACTGACATCTTGTGGAGATCATGAGACGAAAATGCCACAGCCACTGGGCAGGGTGGGATTTACACCCTCATCATGTCCTGCTGGACACCATTGCAGCAGTGGCCAGATTTGCCAAAGCACCTCTAACTGTGTCTGTAGTGAAAACCTGGCAGATGGGCTAACATGAATGGAGTGGATACAGAGGAAAATCTTGCACGTGTCCCAAACTGCAGGCTCCTCATCATCTAAAAATAAATGGTTTAAGCAAAAACTGCCTGCATTTTAGCCCCTCTTCCAGGTCCAAAGAGTTAAATTAAGCCACTGCCATCTTTCTCCCAATGCTCGGGTGTTTGTACAAGTGTAAGTGTTTGTACAAGTTTGTAGTGTGGCACAAGCCACAGCAGTGCTGCAGTATAATTGCTTGGTAGGGGTTAACACCCTGAAAATGGATAATCTCTCAGTCCAACCATACAATCATTCCTCCAGCTTCTTCTTAATACCTCGCTGGGGAGCAAATGCTCTGTCTCCTCCAAGATGGCCAGAGACCCTCTGGAACTGCTGTGGTAGCACCAGACAGGTGGAAAATGGAGACTACCCAGATGTAATAGAAAGTGTGGGCAATGGAACTTGGACTTCTTCATGCTGTAGCAGCCAAGCTGGAGAAGCCATGACCATCATTCTCAGCACCAACAACAGCTACCACTGTCGCCAAGAGTGAGTCTCTAAGCCTTTGCATGCAACTTTGCTGTAGTTCAGCCACCTCCACTCAACATGAAATTCTCCTTCTGCTACGTACTCACTGTAGTCACTCCAGAGGAAAACACTGTCACCTAAAAGTCGCGCATGGACAACGTTCCCTGCACTTATGGCTCTGGGTCAGTCTGTTCCATTTTCTTGCTCTCCCAGGGCAGCATCAAACCCAGCTCCCTCCAAAGCCAGACAACTTTCCAGTGTGGGTGTCAAGGAGGTACAGCGTTAGCAGCGCATTGCAAGACCTCAGCTTCATGCATAAAGATGGAAATGTAAGAGTGCAGAACACAACAAATACTATTTTGCCTCGGACAGATCCTAATGCTGAGTCCACTGAGTTACCATGTAGTACTCCCTAACCAGTTACAAGACATGGAAAACCAACCAGCCGAGGAAAAGCCCAAACGATTCCTAGAGGGGAATCAATAGCTGCAGCACTGGCTTTGCTTTGAACAACAGCAGACAGCTTTTATCCTTTGTGCTTCAAAAGAAAAGGGGGAATTTTTATGCTTTAAGTGACTAATCTGTAAGCAGTGCTTTAAAAGGTAGTAAAGCCTATCTACAAGCACTGTACACCCCAAAAAAATCCATATACATAAAAGCCCTGCCACTAGGGCTCTCTTTGTGTGCCTTGAGCAGTCCCAGTAAGCATCCGTACGTATGGGCAGCTAGGTCTGATTATTCAAATCCTGTTGCCTAGTATTAACTCTCAAATCTATATTTAAGCACCTAAGTAGGAATTACTACAGCTTTCCAAAGATCGTAAGCATCAAGAGCTCTTGTTAAGAGCTTGCCAGAGGACTGACCTCCTAATGAATCTGTTTAAACAATAACATTCACCTCGCTCCCAGTGCTGGGAAACTCAGTACTTTCATATACAGCTAATGCTCCTGAACTTCTTCCAACAAGAGCCAAGCTTCCGAGCATCTTGTCTTTGCCATCAAAACACAGACTAGATGCAAATACATAGAGGAGCTATTTCTAGAATCCTGCACTGACTTCGAAGTTACTGTACCTTGTTTTAGCAAAGGCTTGAATACAGCAGAACGCAGGCTGTGTGTTATAGTTTGGTAGAAATTTGGGAAGAATGGTATTTTTTGAGCAAAACATATCTGGGCATTGAACCAAAATCTATTTGAACCAAACTATCACAGTACCAAATGGAGATATTTTGATGTAATCCTTACTCTCTCCTTCTATAGCCAGGAAGCCTTTAAAAATTTCGGCAGAACTTGAACCTTTCTGTTCTTACAGCCAGAAAGTCAAAAAGTTCCTTGTCCTTTCCACAGCCTGAGTCTTTCCTTTGCCAGACAAGCAAACTAACGTCTTGGAGATGAGTGCATTACAGCAACAATATTCCAAGTTATAGAAAAAGGGCAACTCTTTATTTTTCTTTATTATTCACTTTCTTGTATTTCTTATTTTAAAAACAATTTGCATATGAAGCTAGTGATTTACCTTTGTTCTATAATGAATTCTATATACATCCTCCTTCCTGCTTGGCTTACGAGGAAATGGGAGAAACAGACAGGAGGGCATTCATAGGGCCAATAGTTGCTAACATGGTTGGAGAGAACAAGGAAGAACACGATATGCAAGGCTGGAAATGCTCTGGAAAGTTTAGCAGCAATATTGTCATTCAGAATCCCGGATTATGAGTAGTTCTGGATGCAAATTTAACTAAAGGTAACTGAAGTAAAATATATTGCAACTGCTTAATAGACACAAAGGACCATATACATTTAATTAGAAGAAAGTGTTATCCAGAAAATATGAAGTTGCTTCACCAGCATCAGAGGACTAGACAGAAACTAGCAGTGGCATCATGAGACAGCAATCTGTAGGCAACAACCCTCCTTGTCAGGAATGCCAAGTTCCTTCCTAGCCCTGCAGATGCAGGAGATAAGGTCTCAGCTCCAAACACTGAAGTAACCATAAAAATGCTTGCTCTAGTGAAACAGAATTTTATGTATTATTTGACATCCAGACCCATTTTTAAACAACAAATACTGATGGGAAGTTAGTCAAAAGCTTCAGAATGGATGTATGGATGGCAAGAGAGAATTCACAGAATCACAGAATCATAGAATGTTTTGGGTTGAAAGTGACCTACCTTAGGGATCACCTAGTTCCAATACCCCTGCAAAGGACAGGGACACCTTGCACCAGACTAGGTTGCTCCAAGCTCCATCCAATCTAGCCTTGAACACTTCTGGGGATGAGACATCCACAACTTCTCTGGGCAACCTGTGACAGTGCCTGACCACCCTCACAGTAAAGAATGTCTTCCTAACATCTAATCTAAACCTGCCCTTTTACAGTTTGAAGCCATTATCAGTGGCACCGGTCCCAATACTGACTGCTCACTTATTATTTTCTATAACTTACCAGGTGTTATGATGTTCACACATCTCATGAATACAACAGCCTTTCACTGAGCAGATGAACCAACAAGCATACCATTCAAATGACTTGGTTATTACCAAAGACTTTAAAATGAACCAATGAAGATAATTAGTGAAAGGAGGAAAGAAAGGATTAATACTATCCAAATACCAATGTGGTTAATGAATTAGCAAAATGAACCCTTACTATCTCAGTAACACTTTTTCAAAATTAGAGCTGTATCAGAAGTTTCAAATTTAAAAGACAACTCTTTTAATAAACTAAATTTTAAATACACATTCTACAAAAGCCTTAACTTCTCAGTTCCTTCTTTTGTTGTCAAAAGTATCTACATATACACAGACACACACATAAGAAAGTATGACCTTTCATTTTATTATTTAAAATACAACTTTCAGGTCACACAATTACTATGCACTGACGGTATTTCCATTATAACAAATCGTCATTCGCGACACAATGATTCTTCATTTCAAGGGTAAGCACTTTCCCAAGTCTCAAATCTCTTGAAGAAGTTCCTTCTTTTCCTCAAAATACTTCTCAAACCACTCAATATGCTCAATCTTCTGCTTAACACTGAGGTATGGGTTTTTTGAAAGCCCACAGATGACTAGTTCCATGAAGTGGCGAATAGGTCCATCCTTGGGAAAGCCTTCGAGGTGTTTGTCCAGAAAGATATGTTCATGAAATTCAGCACCATCGTCCATCCCTGGTAGAAAGGACAAAAAAAGACAAAGTTATTTTCATAACATAAAAGCAAATTTAAATAAACAGCAAATAAAAAAATATATAGTTTGCAAATAATCTTAAATTAGTAAAATTACCGGTTCTGCTCACATTTATAGAATATGTAATATTTAAATCAACTTTCTGGCTGGTAATCTCTCTAAAAGCTGATGCTGGGGTAGGAGTAGGAATAATTATAACCATAAATCAATCTTCTTGCCAAAATCTGGTTTGTTCAACACCTGAAAATTTTGATTCACTGGCTGGGGGCACTTTCTTAATAAATTCTTAAAGAAAACACTGATTGCCTAAATTCTGCAGAGGATTAAAGAATACAAGCTAGTCTTGAACAAATGAGGCAACCTCGTAAGTACTGAACAGCTAACACACACTTGCATGTCCGTTCCGAGTCACGGTTTTAACATCCTATTGCTATCAAATGGGTGCAGAAATTGGTTTTTCTGACATCTTCTGAATCTGTGAGTATATGCTGATGTAAAAATGTTGTCTATCTCACTAGCTGCTACTTTTAAGTCACTACCACCAAAGATGATCTATTCAAAAGCAACCACAGAACAGGGGATAAGGGATTATTGGAGATCTCTAATCAAGCACAGCTCAGATCCTACAGTAAATTTTTGTTCTCTGTCTTGTGGACTTCTTTTGCCATTGTTCATACTGTGATGCTACAGACAAAGACTCAGAACACAAACACCTACATACAGAAGAAAGGCTGCCCTTGCCGTTCCCAGTTCCAAGAAAAAAAAGAAAAGGCAAACTGGGATTTGCAAATAAAGATTTTTCTTCAGTTAGATATACAGGAAAATTGTTATTTGATCCCAATTTGCTTGCACCTTTAAATAAAAATCTGGTATTAGAGAAAAGCATTGTACCATTTTCAGATGACAAAAATGTGAAATCTACACCAGAGACATAAAAGTACATGTTTTCCTGAACTAGCTAGTTTCATGTTTTCCTATACTATTTAACAAAATTAAATAATGAGTATTAAAATTGAGGTAATTAAGCCATGTTAGTTCTAGGCTTCCTCCTTTGTTAGAGCTTCTACAGTTTCGGAAGAGATGATGCACATCTCTGGGATGGAGAAGTCTCTCAGCTTGTGAAGTTCACATTACTTCCTTCCTGTCCTTAAACTTTAGGTACTGCAATACCTGAAGGTGCAGGCAAATACCTCTATTTTTCCCATAGATTTTTAAAAAAAATGTGTGAGTCTATCCATACCATCACATTCATCTCCCTTGTTCTCAGAAAAATAAAGCACATTTCCTTGTTCAGAAGCTCTCTCCTTTTTCCTTTATGTTGAAAGTTAAAATAAAAAAAACCAGGAAATGTCAGCTTCAGAAGGTGTATTTCTGCTGTGCTTGGAAACCTATGTCCACTTACAGAAGCACAGTGATGATCCTTTCACCACGCTACCCATGCTGACTTTCTCTCACCAAGGCAAGGTGGAATCTCACTGTATCTGGATGCTACTGGTTGCTTTCTCAAACCAACAACCTTTCCAGACTTCCGCACTTTTGCTGGTCTCAGAAATCCAAGAAAACTAAACCAACAAACTCACTACTGAAGGAATCTGAGTAATGCTGACAGTAAAATTCAGCCTCCTGGATGCTCTTCTTATGGGGATAGATAGACAGTGTCAGGAGAGATTGTGCCTAATAAATAATTTCACCAATTTTCATCTCTAAGTCAAAAGAAATTAAACCATTTATAGCCTAACAAAAATGCAGGTCAGAAGGAAATATAACATCACGTATTCTGATCTCCTTTTTGTCGAAGACATGATACATGGTTTGCAGATGAAGTATTAAATCCAAATATTTCGGTTAGACCACATATTTCAATCCTCCAAAAAGTAAACAAAAGTGCATGACAGAAAATGAGACCACAACTGCCCAAAGCAGCAGAGGTTGAAACCTCTGGTGGAAACTGATCAGATGAGATATGCTTGCATGACTCCCCCACTCCACCCTCCCCCAGCAAACCCTGGCTCATGCTGCAAACCTGTCCCTCAGCCTCTCTTGCACTATCCTCAGAAACCTAATTTGAAATAACATGCACGATAGGAAATCCAAAGTAGAGGATTTTCTTTTTCAACCTCAAAGCAAAAAGTCATCCACCTCAATTTCTCGTTTCCAATCCCCCACATATTACAAAACAGAAACTCTGGGGAATTTCTCTACCTAAAACATTAATCCTTCCAAGACATGACCAACCTTGCCTTAAAGATGTCATCTCAAACACAGACATCCACCCTTTATAGGAAGTATTGCTGACATGCTACAAAGATGACTATTTTGATCTAGTGAAGAGATGTCCCTGTCCTAGGCAGGGGGTTTGGACTAGATGATCTCTAAAGGTCCCTTTCAGCATAAAGCATTCTATCCTTTTAGGATTTTTAGAATGAGACAAATTGTGCTCTTCAGTAGGTTCCTAGAAGAGATCCAGAATTAGTAAAGCAACCCCGACACAATGGTTGTGTAACTTTGCCACTTCTCTTGGCAAGCTGATCCAATATTTCTCTGCTGGGAACAGCATCTCAGCAAAACAGAGAGAACAGGACTTGGTGAACTTTTGCCTACAGAGAGACCTTCCTATCACTTATGCAGTAACAATCTCTGGCCCACCAAAAGCATTTGCTCCTCATAATGAGGTGTTACAGCAAAGTAGCACCTGTAACCTGCACTGTCATTTTTATCTCCTCAGGTTTTGAGTCACCAATATGAACAGAAATAATACAGGAGGCACGAATCAATGTCTTTCCCCACTTTTTGCCACAGTAATCATGGAGCAGAGTTAAAGCTACTGGAAGCAGGAGAGGCAAGCAGAAAGAAGGAGGAATGAGAATGATGTTATGCAAGCTGTACTAATGGTTTGCTAATCTGGTAAAAATTAATCGGAGGCCAGAGAGATGGAGAGGAGGAAAAAAAAAAAGGTAATTTTCTGCCTAACAGTGACTTCAACTGCATCAGACAAGGGAAAGGACATGCAGGAAGGAGCAGAGAGCAGGGCAGTAGGGTGTGTGTAGGGGAAGACTGCTGCTGGCCACTGCAGCAAGTCAGTATGTCTAGCCACATCTTCAGATGTTCACACCAAAATCATTTTAAAAATCATGACCTTGTCCTGATGCCACAAAGCATGGCACAGTGCCTTGGTAAAGCACTTAACGAGATCACCAGAGATTCTCTGGAGCCAAGAAAAATAGGTATAAGCAGTCATCTTCCTTTTTTTATATTTAGTTTAAAACTTTAAAGGCTTTCATAATGCTAAAAGTTGAGTATACATGCTTCCTCAACAGAAAATTTAATTGCACTTACATTTTGAAACCACATGCTTGTGGCATAAAAGGAAAATCACACCTTTCTTTATACAGAACAAGCTGAAGTAATGTCCTCCCACTGAGGGAAACGACTGTTACAAAAATGCAAAATTAACAGCAGAAAGGGGCATCTTTTTTTGCAGAGACACTGAAATTACAGTTTGCTGATATAACTGGAGTGAGGTACTCAAGCTTTTTACCGTGGTTTGACATACCTGACGTGATTAATAGCCTGTGGCTGGCAGTTTGATAGGATGGAATTTACTGACTTGGTATTTCAACCTGAAAGGTGACAGATTTTGGAACGCTCCACTGGAATTTTCCACATGACTAGTCTTTGAGGACAAATCAATAAAGATTCTTGTTTAAGTATATGTAAAGACTCTTTGTCCGTCCACCACCCCACCCCAGACAGCGCAGCTCCAGCCCCACTGCTGCAACAGAGGAACCACCAGCGGCCAAAGACACTTTGTCAGCTGCCGGCCCCAGACCGTGTAACTGGTTCCAGCCACGTCACGGCGACAGCGAAACCATCCGCCGCAACGGCTCCAAGCTTGCGGAAACATGACTGGAGCACACTTGGATTTCTGCATGGTGGAACAGATCAATTCTGGGAGCAGTGATTAAATTCTGCGGAGAAACTGCCAAGTAGGGGGAGAATAAGCACTAAGAAACTGTGAACCCCGTTATTCAGTTCGCAACTCGGCATAGCGCAGATTTTCAAAGACTTCCAGCTTCAGATACTAACCTGTTTTGCTCTCAGTGACTGAATCACTATAAAGCAGTTCTGTTTGATGTTCTTTAAAGTCTTTAAAAAAACCTCAAACCCACAGCGAAGGTCTCCCTGAAGTTATGAAGTCCCCCTTCCTATACTGTAGACTTTGAGTAGTTGTTCTTTCCTTCCTTTACATTCATTCTCTCTCTCTGCTGGCTTAACTTTACACGGAGCACTTTTTTTTTTTAATGGTAATAAAAGAAAATAATGTTCCCAAAGATGCCTAATTAACATAGATGTCCAGAGTGAGTGAATATTGTGACTGTTTATTCTTATAAAACAGACAGAACAAAGGGAGCGAGCAACTGTTTAACACTCGGCCAGGGCAGATATGGAACTGGCAGACAGCAAACTGAGATCCAGCCAGACACTTGTTCGAGAGCCACACCAAAGAACAGAATCAGCATTATAAAACACACGCAGCAGTTTTAAGATTCCCCAACTTCTGCCAGGAGCTTAATTTAAAGAAGTTGCATAGTAAAAAGTATTGTGTAATAGGCTTGAATGGACTTTTGGTGTTGAAAGCATCAGGGAGGGAGGGAGTTCTCCCCTTCTTGGCAGCAGTCAGTCATCAGATCAGCCAAACCACCTGCAGGACTTCACCTGAAGAGTGCCAGAATGAGTTCATCTGAAGCATCTCTGATCTGGGACAGTCAGGAAGTTTTATTTGTTTACTATCAAATGCATGACTCATAGCTGAAATGCTGTGTTGAAACAGTCAAAGGTCAAATATGCTCTAATTTTAAAAAAAGATAAATAGAGACAGATAGTAAAAGTTAACAGTGCACGTACCAACTTCGTTGTCAATTGGGAACTCCCACAGTATTCCTTCTTTTGTCCACTGGATCATCTCCTCAAAACCATTTCGGGGCGGCTGTGCAGTTATTGCTGCAATCTCCTTCGCAAACTCCAGATCCCAAATTGTTGGTGAAGATACTAAAAAATAAATTTTGTAGAGATCTGTCAGCAGCAAAAGACTTCTCACTAGCTAAAACAAAGTCCTTTAACATTATTCTTTACAGAGACTAATTTTTTCTCTATTAGATGCCAGCATCACCTTTCTCAAATGAGAATTCTCTGTTGACATGAAAGCCCATTAAATTCTCAAATGTCTGATGAAAACATATTCTGAAATCCTAGGGGACAATTTATTTTTAAGCCTTCCACACAGAGCAGGAATTTAATTTTTCCACAGTCTGCTTTTCTTTTTGTCTTTCACAAACTGTGGATATGACAAACTCTGAATTCAACTGGTGCACTCTGCTAAAGGAATCTTACTTCTACAGGAGTTTTCTGGTACTTCATAACTATACTCTCCTTCAGGGAAACAACTCAATCTACAAATTATGGCAATTTCTTCCCCAACTCTCCTAAGTGTCCCACTTTCTGTCTCTCGGGCTTGAGAAATTGTGATTTCCTATACTTTCCACGAAGTCAAACAGTTCCTTCAGGGATGCATCTTTTCTAATGCATATATTTTTTACGTTTTTTTTAATCAAAGGTTACTCATATGGTAGTAGTTACTCTTAAGGAGTTCCTGCCCCTCCACCCAGGAGAACTGGTCATGAGCCCAGACTGAGCCGCTTCGCTGAACTGAAGGGAACAAGCTGTTACCACAGGACAGGGAGAAATCACTGGGAGTGCCTTGGGCTACTGTCTCGTGAGCTGGCCTAAGCTGCATTCCACCTTGGTTTTTTGCCTCCCCCTGTTATCAATTCACCCTAATCTCCTTGGAACAGAGATCTTCATGTGAATTCAAATGTAAGAGTCCACTTGAAGTGGATCATGGCTGATCAGCTATTATTTTACTACTCACAAGTGTTAAGTACTTGAAGCCAAGATATAATTTCATCTTTGGCTCAGCAGCTTACAACTCAAATGAATTAAAAAAAAAAATCTCCCCCCGCTCCTTTAAAAGAAAACACAATGAAAGGGCAAACAGTATTTTTACATACTGAAAAGTGTTTTCAGGTTTTTTTGTGTTAAATCAGAAAATATTAAAATTATTCCTTAAGACGGAAATTTCCAGGACTCTATTCCCTAGGTGACTACTTTGATTTGAGGGCTGGAGGCAAGAATAAAATACAGCTAGAAGACAACATGAGAAACCATACCAAAATGAAATTATTGTCCACATCTTTAAGAAACTAGTGCATCTTCTAATAGAAGAAAGCAGAAACTCATTTTTTCAAGATTGCAGTAAGGCTGGTAAAGATTATATTTTCACCTCTGCGAAACAGAAAATACTGACATTTGATGTTAACAGTTATGAAGAATATTTTCTGGATGCCAATTTACCTTCCAGTTAACATGCAGGTTTTCAAAACCAAAACTTAACATGAAACTTGCTTTTCTGTCATGTACAAACAATGTTTTAACTCATTATCTCCATTAATATGAGCCAAGACAGTGAAAACAAATGAATCAGGGTATCAGGTACCACACCAGCATTTCCCAAGATTAACACCAAAAAAATGTCATCAGGCTTAGTCAGTAAGCCAAGTAATCAGCTTCCTGGCTTAGAACATGTTGTAGATTTCCTCAAGGCTACCTGGAACCAAACAAGGAAATACCACACAAAAAGCTGAAAGAAGCTTATTTCTTAATATCTAATTACAAATCCAATAAAGTCCACTCACTCTCTTATACAACTGTGTACATTCCAGTTTTGTGTTTAAAAAAAAATTGCATCTCAGCTTTTTATCTAGTGACTACTTTGAGCCATTGTGTCTGCAATCTGCTCATGAAAAAAAGAAAACTTAAATTCTCCCCATTTTACCTGAGTAAATTTGAATCAACTCAGAAACCAGCTTCTTCAACACCACACTTGTTAAGATAGCTAAAAACAAACACTGCATAATTTGTTATGTTTTTATATGTAAAATGGACCAATTTTAAATATATTGGCAGTCTTAAAAATATTGAATTCCAGTCTAATAAGTAAATTCCACAGAGGTGGCTGAATTCAGAAACCTCACAGCTGCTTGAAAATATGCAAACAGCACTATTTGACATTTTATTAAAGAAACTGAGCAGACAAATTAATTTCTCCCTGCAGTTTCAAGTGTAAAAAAAGAAAGACAAAAGTACTCATCTAGAATCTGGCAAAAACTAACAGTCCTACTCTTGAAACAAACAAATATGCATCATTTTCTAAGATATCAGAGAGGAGTACTATTTCTTCTGCCACTGTTGGCTTTACACAAAGTTCTAAGTCACCACACTGGAATAAAGTCCTTTTTTGAAAGGGCCTCAGAATATCCGAGGGAAAACAGCATATTAAAGATATCAATACAGGCTGGGAGACCAAGGGACTGAGAGCAGCCCTGCTGAGAATGACTTCAGGATATTGGTGGATAAAAACTGGACATGAAGCAGCCACGTGCATTTACAGCCCAGAAAGCCAACTGGAATCCTAAAATGAAGTATGGCCAACAAGTTGAGAGAGGAGATTCTGCCCCTCTACTCTGCTCTCATGAGACCCCACCTGGAACATTGCATCCAGCTCTGGGGTCCTCAACACAGGAAGGACATCAACCTGTTGGAGCAGGTCCAGAGGAGGGCCATGAAGATGACTAGAGGGATGGAACATCCCTCCTATAAGATGAACTGAGAGAGCTGGGATGGTTTCTCATGGAGAAGGGAAGGCCCCAGGGTGACCTTATTACAATCCATTCAGTACTTAAGGGGAACTTGTAAGAAAGATAAGGACAGAATTTTTAGTAACAAGGGACAAGTGAGTAGTGGTTTTAAACTAAAAGAGGGTAGATTCCGAGTATATAAAAGGAAGAAATTTCTTCCAATGAGGGTGGTAAAATACTGGAAATGATTGTCTAGAGGGCTGGTAGATGCCTTATCCCTGGAAACCTTCAAGGTCAGGTTGAATGGGGCTCCGAGCAACCTGATCTAGTGGAAGACATACCTGCTCACTGCAGGGGGAGTTTGAATTGGATGACCTTTAAAGGTCCCTTACAACCCAAACTATTCCATGACTCTAAACATACACGAAGAGCTTTACAACAGGTAAAGGAAGGTGTCATTTGTCAGCCGCTGACGGGAGCTTTCAAGCTGCACCTGGAACACTAAACAAAAGAAGGCCACACAGCAATCCAGTGCGTAGTCTTGGTTTTGTACTACCCTGCTTATGCTTAGCCACCTGTAGAGTTTGCTTGTTTCCCTGGAATCACAGCCTTGCATTTCTTTGCAACTTGACAAATAAGCTGGAGCCAACACACCCGTTCTCCAGGCTGGCTTTAGACTCACAGGAGTACGACTGATGTTTGTGACAAAAAGCCAGTTATACCCTTCAAGTTCAGTAACGGAATGCCCTGATCACTACAGAAAACAATCTGTATGGAAGTTTTGCTTGGTAAAAATCAGAGTTACATTAAGGTAGTCATTTATCAGTCTGAAAGCAGAAAGTGAACAGATCATAAGTCTCCTCACAGCAATGAATCTCTTGATATTCTAAAAATGCAGAACTTGGCCTCACTGGGTTTTTCATTACTGAATTTCCACTAACCTGTTTTCAGTGCGTGTTCTGGTTCTGTAGAAGCCTTAGTGAATATATTAAGCCTCTTTCCTGCTTTGAGACTTCTATAAACAAAAAAGAAAACCGATATTTAGTATTTCACAACACCTCACAACATTGCCAGATAGCAAATTAAAAAGCACAAAATATTTTCATGAACTAACAGATCTCTGGAGACGAAAATAAACAAAAAAAAAAAAGAGACAGTGACTCTCACTAAATTCTCAACTTTTAAACCAGAGTAAGTGTTTATGACTTCATTATTCGTCTGTAACAGAGCCTCTCAAAACATTTCCTTGCAAAAGAATGAGCATAAATCAAACATTACATTTGTAGTTACTTTTTACTGGAGTATTTAGGAATCTGAAGAAAGGTAAACAGTATCAAACCACAGTACTTAAGTGATTTTACAAAGTTGCAACTATCTGAAGACTTGGGTTTTTTCCCTGTAAAAAATATTGCACAATTCAGGAAGAGAAAAGGCAACAGCTAAATCAAATAATTCCTGCTTTATGACATAAATAGCCTTTTTGGAAGATTACACAGCCACCTTCTCTGCCATACGGCAAACAGTCAGAGTATATCCCTATGATACGTTTTAAGTAGTTCTCTCTTCTGAATATAAAAATATTTCACTCTGACCATCTATTTTCAATCACATTTAACATTAGCATAAGCATACATTAAAAAGGAAAATTTAGAAATACAAGAGTTCAAGAAGCAGTCAAAGTAAATTCTTATAAATGAAAACAAAGAAATAACACTGTCTTTAGAAACAATTATGCTTTTAATCATACTATCTTCCAGGTTTCCACTGAAATTCTAACAGTTACTCCTTTTTGTTATTGCATGTCCACTGTTACCCTTTCTGACCTTAAAATTCCACCTATCTGGATTTACTGGAGATTTCTAATGGCCTCAACTACTTCTGCAAACCTGCTCCTGTCATATTACATTTCAGTGATGAAACTACCCTGGATCTGTTTCAGCACAGAGCAATCGAGTTACAGAGCCTAAAAAGAATGTTGATTTAGGGCTATATTTTCCTATCTGTGTGTAACTCCCAATCACATTGGCCAAAGATGACTTGGAAGAACATTTATTGTAAAATGACAAGTTTAAATTATTATAGTGAAACATCACTCATTTCATTGAAACCTATGAACTCGACTTAAGATATTCTTCCTAAACCATTCTTTTCATACTGTCAATTGATATGTAAATCCATCAGATTTTCAGGTATGCAGAAGGAAACCTAGGCCTGAAACTGGAGACAGTTTACTCATTATAGGGATTTTAAAAACAATTTTATAGTACTGATCCTGAAGTAATATACCACGTATAGTTTCATCACACAAAGAGGGTAAGACAGCTTCTCAGATATCATAAATTTAATAAATCTTTTCAAACATAAATGAAATTCACTTTGCAGTATGTTATTAAATGAGAAGTTTAGCAAAGATAAATAATATACATTCTATGAGTATGTAATAGCTCAGGTTTCCAGTTTATACTTCTAGATCATATTATTTCTATTCTTTCATAGTTTGAAAAACTTTTAATCCAACACCTTAAATAAAGTATTTCTCACAGTCAGAAGAATAGAATAATAGAATAATGTAGAATAATAATAAAATTACTTTCATGTGACAATTACCTCTGTCTGAGAATTATCCAAAGAATAAAAATATCTATAGAGCTATTGTTCATCTGATAATGAAGTCAGTTTCTTTGCTCCTCAAACCAGCAGCCTGTAGTTGAATGAAAAATCCACGACAGAAATATCTAAGTCAGGAGGGCTTGGTCAAAACCTTTGTTCCACTTCTCCCTTCAACCTCCATTACAAAAAGCCCCTCTTGCACCTCCTACCAGCTTTGCACCAGAACATAAAACACTGTGCACTTATAACACTGAAGAGGCCCGAGAGATGCTTCCCTAACACACCACAGCAGCTTAGCAGTTCAAGAACAAGGAAGTTACTCAGAAACATTTCAGCAAGCTGGTTAAGTTCTTCTAATGACTTCTAATGGCCATAAGCCACTTTGATGTTTTTGCATGATCTACATGGCCAATGCTTGTGTTCCAATTTGTTCCCTATGGGAAGTCACAATTCTCTGTTTATGATATACTGAAATAGACGTCTTAGATGACCAAAGAGGGTAGACAACTCCACATCTACTCACCCATAAACTTATGCTTTTTTTCCCCTTAATTAGCCAAATTCTGTCTTCAATATGATCTATCTAAACACAAATGACTCCCTCAACTTTCAGACCTAACCCCAAGAAAAGGGGATTAATTGGTAAATTAATGACAAGAGAAGTTAATATTACTAAAAACTGCTAGAAAAAGAATATACTGAGAAGGAATGTGATGGTGAGCTGCCACTGAAAAATCAAAAGACTGCAGGCAAGAAAGCACAGCTTACAGGAGTAAACCAAAAATGTAAGAGCATTCCTTAATTCATTAAAAAACAGACTGGCCATGGAATACAAGATAACAGCAATAACAGTAAGATAAGATTAAGGAGTTTACAGTGCAAATTATAAAGTTAATTTCATAGACAATTATAACATCACAGACAATAGATAAATAAATTACAGAATGACTTACTAATTGCAATGAGGTGGTAAAATTAAATAAACAAACTTTATCATCTCTTAAAAACCCCAACAGAATGGATGAAACTTTTCTCATCATGAAACATTATCAAAGTTTTCCAGTAGAGGAAAGCAAGCCTTCAAAACCTCCATTTCCCACAAAGTTAAGAAAGTGACGTGAAAGCGTATTATGCGTGAGAAAAATTAAACTAGTTAAAACAAACACAATTACATTGCAGTAGCAAATATTTTTAATTATCTAAAATGTAATATTAAAAAACTGCACATTACTTGATTAGTTGGTTAACATTAATTACTACAATGTCACGGTTTATTTCAATGCTAACAGTACTTCTCTTGCAGAATAGTTAAGCGATTTTCTTAAGCTCTCAAGTATGGCAAGTAAATTTAAAATCTTATCCATTAGTAATTGCATGCTCCTTCTGTTCAAAGATAACACAACAAAAATACCTTCTGGAGTCAAAAGACTGAGACAAAAATCTTTCAGGCCTTATTCTTTGACCATCATCATCCAACTCCAAGGAAATGCGACTGGATATCCTCACACCCCTCTGAGCTGGGGACTGCTTTTTGACTGTCATTTCTGAAATAACGTCGCTGAAATTAAAAACATAAAATGTAAAACCTCAACAAATTGACAAAGCGAGGAAGTTTGTCATATGTATTAACCAGAAACTCTACCCTCAGCTAGTTTCATAAGCCTCTATGAGACAGACTTATACATTCCTCATGAAATACACCCATTTTTAAACCATCAAACACTCAACTCTAACTTTTCAACCATTTAGTTGTTACATCCTATACAGGAAAAGTGCTATTTTACCCTAGTAAATCTACAATGAAGGCTTTCTCTGAAATTATTTAGTTTCCAACTAAAAAAAAAAAAAAATAATCCTGTATCTGCATACCAGTATTCACAGAGCGTACTAGATATGTTTTGCTTAAGCAAATGAGGAACTTCTCTGGATACAAGAAATATGCTGAAACAGGGAGGTAAAAATCACCAGTTTTTTGGACAGGAACCAACACTGCCCAGGGACAGAGCTGTGCTGCTGCAGACCAAAAGGAAGGTTGACTTCACACATCAGCTGACATGGGCCAATCATGCCACCCTAATAAGTAGGTCACCTTTCCTGATCCACTGCAATCTGTTGCATTGCATAATCATATTACAGCATTAACAGACCACATCTTCCGTCGTAATTCCGTAGTCAAAATCATAGGTGAAGAGTAAATGCTCCGATTTCTTCCAGCACCGTGTGCAGCTCGTTCTGAACACAAAGGGCAAAACACACCACCTTTCTGCCTCCCTTAACTGGCAAGTCTGGTGGTTGGTAAAGGCCAAGCTGGCAATTCTCCCTCACAGCTGTCCTCTCCACCCAACCGCTGCCAGTCACACGCAGGCATCCAAAATTGCAGCGCTCAAGTTTTAAGACATAAATATGGTCTCAAAAAAGTAAATATAGGCCAAGTCAAAAATACTGCACATCCATTTTATGAAAATCTGAATGAAATTCAAACTATGCTTTTGGCAGTTCAATTCAAAAGAGATTTTACTGACAAGAAAGAAATACTTCTGGAAAATTGTAAAAGCTAATTGCCACGGCAACACAGCAGGACTTCTCTTCAGTCTTAGATGTGGTTTCAAATGGCAGAACAAGAACAGCATAGCTCTTCTAGTACCTACTCTGAAAGCAAGTTTTAAATAATTTCATTTTAATCTTAAATAAAAAACAATCTCAGATTAGTTGCATATCTCACATCAGAAATCACTCTCTGAAGTGGCTACTGGCATTAGTAAGTTGGTGCTGGGCCAGAGGCTTGACACACTTAGGAGGGTCAAAGGGACATAATTCCTAAGGTCAGACAAAGCCCAGCCCAATGGCTTGACTCGGCTGTGACCTAGAAGACTGGAGCATTCCTGTGCTTCAGGGGAGGCAGGATTGCTCAGAGAACCTCTCCTTAATTTACTTGCAGTTTTGCACAGTAGGTTTGGACAGACTACACTACCAATCCACCAGTACACGCAGTCAATGGTATCATATTTCTCACTGGGAAATCCTAGTGTCACCCCATCACTGGCATATCAACATTTCCGGCAGCAAAATTCATCACTCTAACATTAAAAGTATCCCTGCATCATCAAAAGTACCCCTGTATTAACAAAAATAAAACTACAAAGATTCTTTTACTGCCTTTTGTAACAAAACCCATCAATTTACAAATTCACACTCCAACCCCAGTGTACTGATAGTGGTTAGATATTACACATGACCTCATGTCCCAACACAACATTTTAAACCAAAGTTCCTAGATGCTTCTGCCATCCAGAAATAGGAAGAGGTAGGACTTTTGTAACAACCACAGATTCTCTCTCCTTCCTGATTACCAGGCAGTAATTATCATACTAAAAATGAAGACCTATGAAGCTCTGGATATATTTTAGTCAAAGCTCTGAACTACTTTTCCTCCTCTTCACCCAAAACAGGAGCTGAAATTTCAACCTGTAGGTTGAAACCGCAGATTTTATTTTGGTGTAGTGCTGTTGTGATTTCCATGGAGTGAAACTTTATCCCACATTGAGAAAAATAAATTCCGGTATCATTAATATTTTCCCCTCCTCGCAAACATGCTGCCCTCATGCTGCCTACAAAACAAGGCGATGAGATGAGCGCATACAACAGTGACCTCTGGAGGTCGTGCCACTATCCTGGTAAAAACAATTGGTACAAAAGATCTGGAAAACATACAATTTATTACATATTATAAATCACAATAGCACCGTTTTTTTACAGTTCAGCACTATATGGTCTACTGCTTGTGCAAGTATCTCATTTTTAAACATTTTAAATAACTGAGGAATATAGACTGGCTTTTAAAATGTGTCAGTACACCGAATACAAAACATTTATAGAAAAAAATTGAAAGTTAAATTGCCCGTGTTCTCTTGTCAAAATAAAATTCAACATAAAATAATAATGTATAAACAAAAGTAAATGCTTTCTAATATATTTAAAGCATTTTAGTGTGCTGTGCGGATGGAGATATTGTGGAGTATAAATCATGCTGAATCAAGTCTGAGGGCTGCTGGGCTTTGTAAAATCAACATTTTTAAACACTAGCCAGAAACCTGAAGGTACTACATTTATCTAAACGAACTGAAAGGTCCCTACTAACTCTGAAAGGTTACAATAACCAAATTTTTTGTCATGAAAATCAGCAGGAGTTGTTCCTCTTTCTTTAGAACTCATCCAAGATAAGTGTTTCAAACTGTTACTCAACTATTAAGGAAGAAAACTAAAACTTTTCAGCAAATAGTGGGGTGGGGCAGGGTGTGGGGAGTGTATTCCCTGGGGGAAACAAGCTAGGTCACACAGCTGCCTCAGGGAATAGAAGTTGCCAACTCAAAGCACACCAAGCCAGCCGTGACATTCTGGTTGAGGAAAATGCATTTTTCTAATGACAGTGACTAATCCACAAACATGACATAAAATACTGTAATACCACATTTCAATCCACCAATCAACAGTATAGAGGCAATATATAGCCGCAGCTTTTAAATTTCTGAAGAATTTCAACTCTCTTTCAAGAGAAAAAAAAAACCTTTTCACTTAGACTGCAAGCGCCTTAGTCACCGTCTTTCTTCCACTGCAGCCAGAGCTGCTTCAGGAAAAGTGCAGTGGGTGACAAGACAGTGAGCCCTTGCTGCCAGCAGGCAGACCAACCACACCTAGACAAGGGCATGTACACCTTAGGGAAGGGAGACAGCACATATGAGGTTAGCCCCTGCACATGCTAGCTCAGTGAGTATCCCAATGGTCCTCCAACAGGTACTCAAGTAGGTTCTAATTACATTTAAGTTGGCCACCCACAGCCAGTGCCATTATTGAGATGTTTGTGTACTCTGCTCTTCCAAAAAGCCCAGTGACAGAGAGAGCACAAGCCCACTGGTAATTAACAGTTTAACGAACATATGCTTTATATAAATAGTCCTTATAACTGAAGAACAGGTATTTTGCTTAACAAAGTTATCACTGAGCACTGTATACCCCATTCTCTGGGCAATCATTTAACTCAACCTGTTTGCAAGCATCTGTCACGTTCTTCCTTAATTTCCACTCACTTAGAAGGCAGACAGCTGCCACAAACATCATTAGCTTGTTGGCTGCTCTGTTTGCAGTACATTGATAACCATACCAAGCAGGTCCTTTACTGATCCCTACAAACAATAACACATGTAAACCACAAATATTAATAGATGGGCCAAACTTAGATCCTCGTTGGGGACAAATTAATTTTCCCAGAATAAATTAAAACTAAGATAAGTAGCTTGCAGTTACCACTGCAAAGAGATGAAAAGACAGGTTTCACGTTCATCTTCTGCTGAAGATGCAGTTTTCTGTTTGGTTCAGCATTTCACCTAGATTTAATGCCTTATTTTCTGAGTAGTTACTGGAATACCAGCTGAAAAAAAATAGAATGAAAAATCTGTCTTCAGCCATCATCCAAACGAGCAGTATGCACAACTGTGTCGGTTTCCAAACAAATGTTTCTCATCTGTTTGAAAGCCGCACTGGAAACGGAGTTAAGCCAAGAGATGAGTTTCTTGGGTTGACTGGAAAGTTTTGAAAGGAAGGGTGGGACTATAAACAGAGTTGCTCTAGTTCATTTCTGCAGAGCTGTCACGAAAATTCACCAGTCCAGACAGAACGTCTGAAATGTCTACAAATCCATCCATTGTGTGAGAATTTTGGAAGCTTGTGACAAAAAAAACCCAAACAAACTCACAAAAAGAGCTGTTGTTTCACTAGCCTGTCCAAGAAAGCAATGATCCTGGGCAGGAAAACAATTCTGTTTCTGCAAAACCATTTTAGAAAGATGATGGCAAAATTTAGAGCTTGGTTATAAGCAGACCAATGGTGTCACTAATATACATTAACCCCAAGGATAAACTGTCCAGACGTATCTTTTAGGGCCATCTTTCCAACACAGGACCCAACCACCCTCAGGATGACATTGCAAAATTAGAATGTTGAACATAACTGAGAATAAAATTCAATAAACAGACCGTATGTTAATAGTTTCCCCCTTCTTCTGTTTATCTGTGGTTTCTTCATGTCTTCTTAGTTGTGCAAGTAGTTCTGATTCTGTCTGTTTCTTGTTGAGTGGAAGGGAAGATGCGACTGCAGAAGCAGCCTTCACCAGTTCTGGATTTAAAGGCTTTCCTCTGTAAGAGTCACAAGAGATACAAAATTAAAAACAAACAAACAAACAAACAAAAACAAACAAGCAAAAATAAACACCCCACTTTAATATTTTTAAATTATCGTTGCTGTACTGTCATTTTATGTCTTAATAACTCAGAAGTTAGTCAGATATTTTCCCAAATGGGGGTGGCCAGTGGGACAGGCAGGTTTGCCTTATATTGCGCTAATCATCGAATGCTGAATGACTGTGACAAGCTCTTGTTTTCAGACCTGGGGAAATGGTAGCCCAATGCCACTGCACAGCCCCTCAGACATACAGCTTGAAAACCACTGGCAGAATAGACCTGTGGGGTAATAAATATGATGAAACACATTGTGGAGAGGAGCCAGTCCAAAGACCTGACAATCCTGATGGCACTCTTAAATTTTTTTTTTTCTTTTTTCTCAGTTTCATTGCATTTTATCTGAACAGTATTTTCCCTCTCCCATTAAAATAACTTTCCTCAGGCAGATGTTAATGCTACCTTTCCAGAATGTCAGTGCAGAAGAAGGTAGCATGTCATAGAATAAAACTGGCATCTTTTGTCCAGATTCTCTCCTGTGATTTACTCCAAGCTACATCTGTACACCACACTCCCTTACAAAATCCTTTTCGATAGATGGAAACGGCATTTGATGGTTTATTTCATCCTAAACAATGAAAAATATTGAAAAAAGGATAAAACAGGCTAAGAAAAGTTTGTTACACTTTACCGTTGGATGCCTTCTGCAGTTCTCTGAGGACCTTCACTGTCCGGGCCTTCCAGCCTGTTCGCGTCTTGCTTTTTGTTCTCACTGGCTTTCAGCTCTTGGAGTTTCTTTCTGTAGCTCACTTCCACTTTCATATTACCAATAAGGTCTAACAGCTTCTGCTTTGGTGTTTCTGCTGTACCCTCCTGCCTCTTGGATGCCCCCTCAGTGGTGCTGCCTTTGGAAGCGGTGGATTTATCCTTCTCAGCAGAAAGCACGCTGCTTGTGCTGAAGTGTTTCTGTACTTTGCTAGATGATATACAAAGTTAAAAAACAGAAGTTACAAAAAGGGTCCAAGGTTGAACTTTGTAAGCTTACAAAAAACAAAACAAAACATCAATTACAACTGTCTAGGCCTAACTGAGTGCATTTGGAGTATGTTAAGTATATGTCAAACATGTACCTTTTGACTGTTGAGACGGACTGGCACACCATTTCCAACTCTTGATTACTTATGGTTTCCTCATCACAAAAATCAAGTAAGCAACTTTAAAACACTGTTTATTTATGGAGAAAATAATCTATGAACTTAAAACTTTTAAAGTATTTCTGCATTAGGTAGTAGAGTGAGTTCGAATCTACTGGTACCTGATACTTAAATTCATTGATAGCACAGAAAACTCACCAAAACTATTAAAAATAAGTCAATAAAGACAACACTTCCAGCCTTCTGTACACACACATGTAGCTTCACATGTTTTCACTCTTGTGGCACGACTACAGATCACATTCCCCTACCCTGCAATATAGCAGCCAAGTGGGGAAATGGATTCTGTTGAAAGATAACCCAGTAACAAATAAAAAATTATGTGGGTTATTTTTCCCTTTGAAATAGCTCCTCTACTTAGTTTACCACATCATTGCAAAGAAGCTGAAACTGACAGTGCAGGTGAAGATGTGAACCCAGGGACAGCAGGGAGCTGATCAGGAGATTGCTGCAACATAGACACAACTGCATTCTCTAGAAAAATTATCATAAAATTCAAAGAACGGTTCTCTTTAACATTCTAAAATGAAGTTTTTAAATCTCTAAATTCACAACTGCTTACTTTGCTTAAAAATCACCCTCAAGTTACTTAAACAAAGAAAAAAATTAAAATTAAATATTTATTTTGATTCAAAATAAAACACCTCAGAAGATCGTAAAACATTTCCACAAATCTGAAGGAATTGTGACACACCTCCCCTCCTCACACATCTCTGTTTGTCTAGAAAAAGAAAACTGTACCACTACCAGAAGGTATCACACTTCAGTCACTCTGTACTTCATACACTGTCAGCATTAAATTTCAATCTTGAGAAGCAACAAGAAAATTTTAGGAAAGCTTCAGAACCTCATTAATGTGAAGAAGGTTGGAGCCCTACTGTTTTACACTGTGTTGTTCTCCACAGGTCTTTGTCAAGCTCATTTTTTTATTAATTCCGGCTGCATGCTCCTTAACACTATTTCACCAATCAGAAATTACAGGATCACAGAATGGTGAGGGGTTGGAAGGGACCTCAAAGATCATCTAGTCCCAAGCCCCCTGCCGTGAACACCTCCCACTAGAACAGGTTGCTCAAGGAATTATCCAACCTGGCTTTGAACATTGCCAGGGTTGGGGCATCCACAGCTCCTCTGGGCAACCTGTTCCAGTGTCTCACCACTCTTACAGTAAAGAATTCCTTCCTAATATCTAACCCAAATTTCCCTTCTTTCAGTTTGTATCCATGTTCTATCAACTACCACTCCTGACAGAGAGTGCCTCTCTGGCTTCCCTGCAGCCCCCTTCAGACATTCCGCGCAACCTTCTCTTCTCCAGGCTGAACAGCCCCGACTTTCTCAGCCTAATCCTTGTTTACAAAAATTTAAAAACCAAAAACAAAAACCAAAACAAACAAACAAACAAAACACGGAAAACACAGCAAGACTGCAAGCCTTATACATCTAAAGCCAGCAGTGCACTGAAGTCTGCATTGCTGTTATTTCACCTACCCTCTGGTTTGCCTCCCGCTGGGAAGCTCGGCCTGAGAAAGCAAACACAGCCACCAAAGAGCCCCAGCTGTTTTGTGCCATGAGGCCATCACAGCATCGGAGCTTGTGCAAAAATACCGAGGAGCTTTGGAATCAAAATAAACAAATAAATAAACAAACGTACAACTGACCTGTCATTAAAAACACTTAAAAAAATCTGACAGTGAAAAGGAGAACGAACTCCCAAACGCCGCTCTTAGCCGGTGCTTTGGGCACGTACAGCACAGCCCGGCAGGCAGCACCGCGCTCCGCTGACCCGCACGGTGCAGGGTTACGGCGCCAGGCCACACACATGCGGATCGCTCTCACCACCCCACGACGGGAAGAAGGACGGCGATGCGAGAGCAACGCGAGACGCGCAGCCCACGCCATTCTCCCGCACTGACCCCATCCCCCAGTCTCCACTGGTGTCCCTGGCTCCCGGCCCCGCCGGCGCAGGCGGACCCCGGCCCTCAGCAGGCCGCGCTCCGGGACACGGCCCGGCCGCCGCCGGCACCCCCACCCCACAGGTACCTGTGAGGGCTGCCGTGCAGCCGCGCTGCCCCCGCCGCCCCCAGGAGCCGCGACGAGGAGAAGCCGCCGCCGCCGCCCCAGACACGGACACGGCCCCACATCGCGCCGCGCTCCCCGCCCGCGCTCCCCGGCGCCGCCGGCCGGCAACAGAAGCCGCGCCGCGCGTTCCGCGCTGCAGCGTTCCGGCCGGCCCCGGCCCGGCTCTGCTCCGCCGCCAGACAAACCCATCCCGCTCACGCTCTACTGAGCACTGGTGAGGCAACACCTGGAGCGCTGTGTCCGGCTCTGGGCTCCTTGGAGGGACACGGAGCTCCTGGAGCGTGTCCGGCAGAGCGTAACAAAGATGACTGAGGGACTGGAGCATCTCTCCTGCGAGGAAAGGCGGAGGGAGCTGGGCCTGTTCAGCCTTGAGAAGAGATGACTGAAACGGCACCTCACCAATGCCTATCTAAAGGGCAGGTGCCAAGAGGACGGAGCCAGGCTTTTCTCGGTGGTGCCAAGCAGTAGGACAAGAGGCAGTGGGCAGAAACTGATGCACAGCAAGTTCCACCTGAACATGAGAAAAAACTTCTTTACTGCACATGTGACCACACACTGGAGCAGATTGCCCAGAGAGGTTGTGGAGTCTCCCTCGCTGGAGATTTTCAAGAACCATCTGGATGCAATCCTGTGCAATGTGCTCTTGGACGACCCTGCTTGAGCTGGGAGGTTGGACCAGGTGACTCACCGTGATCCCTTCCAACCTGACTGATTCTATGATTCTGTGAAACCAAGCCTTGGGGTGACCCTTCTGAAGCATTTAATGGTAGGAGATCCCCAAAGTCTTGGGGGAAGCTGCAGCTCTCACTGCTGAGCAGGAGCAGATAAGTGTAAGGGTTTCTGCTGGGGCCAAAGCACTTATCTTTAATAATTTTGTGGAGGGAAAAAAAGATTTGTGTGTACTAAGTTCATGTATCTCACCGGGTCGTTCCTGTTATTTACATCCCTAAATAATCCCTAAATTGGCTCCAAACCTTTGAACCATGTTTCAGAAGGGTGTTTGGCCCTAACCCAATGCAGTTATTTCAGGGTACACAATTTCTAAATGAGTCCCTCTTTAAAATCAAAACGTCTTCCATGCCAGCCCAGTGCAGGGACAAAAACTATGGTTTGGGTGAGTAGCCACAGGTGCAGGCAGCAGAAATAGCCACTTGGTGGCAATATGCTCATTGTAGTGCTGCATTCCATGGCTATAAAATCTCCCAAGCAATTATTTCAAGCACTGTCATCATCTCCATCTTTTGTACAGGGTCTAAATAAGAGCAGATTAATCCTGGTGGTCTGCCCGAGGAATGTGGCTGTGAAGAAGCATCCTGAAATACACAAGGCCTGATGTTTTAGCTGGCAAATGGCAATGGCTGGCAGCACGTGGCTTAATGACATATTAAGTACAAGCTTCACTGCATTTGGAGTTAAATAATTTTCACCAACTGGATCTTCCAACAATGCTGCCATTCTGCTAAAATAGAAGTAAACACACGGTCAAAATTCTTTGCAGCTACACAGTAATCTCTTTAACTATTGCAGGTTATTTGAGCTGCACAACTAAATCACAATCACTAACTGGTTACCACAGACCCAGCAATTATTTTTTACATTAAAGAAATAAAATAATTTACAATTCAATTTCTAAAGTCATTTGTAACCTAGCTTGCCATTCCTTCACAATTGCCACACCTTGAATACTGAATCCAGCTCTGGGGTCACAAGCACAGGAAGGACATCAACATGTTGGGAGCAAGTCCAGAAGAGGGCCACCAAGTTGATTAGAGGGCAGAAGCACCTCTCCTACGGAAGAGAGGCTGAGAGAGAATTGGGATAGCTCAGACTGGAAAAGAGAAGGCTTCAGGGTGATCTAATTGTGACCTTCCAGTACCTGAAGGGAGCCTACACAAGAGATGAAAATCAACTATTTACAAAAGCATGTAGTCACAGGATAAGGGGGAATGGCTTCAAACTGAAAGACAGAAGGTTTAGATTAGATTTTAGGAAGAAATTCTTTACTCTGAGAGTGATGAGGTACTGGAACAAATTGCCCAAAAGAGTTGTGGATACCCCATCCCTAGGAGTGTTCAAAGCCAAGTTGGTTACAAAGCCCACATGGGCAACTCTGATCAGCTTGGTCCAGTGAAATTTCTGTCCCCATCCACAGGGGACAGAACTAGGGGGGTTAAAACTAGATGATCTTTAAGATCCCTTCTGCCCCGGGCCATTCTATGATTCTATGATAAACCATTTAAAATAAATATTTCAAGAAAATGATCATATAGAAAATCAAATCTGAACCCTACAGTTAATTAAAAGTGATAGGGGAAAAAAATACATTTAACTTTATGGTATGTATGATGCTTTTTTCTTGGTTTGGTCTTTGAAAGTAGGAGCCATCAGATTTATTTGGTGGAAAAAAACATAGATCTAAGCTCAAATATGTAGATCTGCGTGTCCAATCCATGCAAACACGTGTGCAGCTCAACAGGGATTACAGGCATACAGTCTTTCTCAAATATGACTGATCACTGATATACATGATGGACTGCTTCCAGCTGGGCATTGTTTCTGACAAGCCTTATTGCAAGCACTTCAGTTAACTGCAAATCAAAAGGGGAAAAAAAAGTGCTCTGTAGTTTCAGCGGAGGAAAGCAATATTAGCACTCACCACAGTGGTTTAGGCCACTCTATACGCCACAGGATCATGACAGTGACAGCTTAGGAGAGTGCCTCGGTAGTCATTACACAAAATGGTGTTATTTCAGAGTACGCAATTCCTAAATAAATCCTTCTTTAAAAGAAAATTTTAAACAAACGAACACCCAATCACACACCAAAAAAAAACCAAAAAAACACACAAAAAACAAAAAACAACCCACAACAATGGTTGTAATTCATAAATTCGGTTGCATCCTGCTCAGTGAGCTTAAACACCGCCCAGCCTCAGCTTAAACACAGCCCAGCCCCGCCGCTCCCCCCGCCACCAGCCCGGCCCGCGCCTTCCCCGGGGCCGCGGCGGGGCCGCGCCGCCTCCATCGCCGCCTCCATATATACATCTGCAGGGGGTCAGTGGCGGCGGGGCCGTTCTGGCGGGTGCACGGCGGCTGTGGTGAGTGGCGGTGCCGGGCAGGGGGGTCCCTGCGGCTCAGGAGCCGGGTGGGCAGGGCCGGGATGCGCGGGGTGCGGCCCCTCGGGAAGCGGCGGCGCCTGCGGCCGCCCGGGAGAGGCGCTGGGCCGGGGCCGGGGTCGGGGTCGGGCGGGCTCTGCTCCCGCGGCGTCCGCCGAACGCAGGCCGGGGCGTCCCGCTCCCAGCGGGCGGGTGCTGGCGGAGCGGGAACCCCGAGCCTTGGTCCCCGAAGGAGCCTGGAGCCGCGGCGTGGCCCAGCCCGGCCCGCTCGCAGCGGCCGCCAGCACGTGTGACATCCCGGCGCGCCGAGCCCCGGTGCTGCCCGCGCCTGCTGCGCCGGGGTGCCGGCCTGCCGTGACCTTGGGGAGCGGAGCCACGGCCTGCCTGCCCGTGCGCGCTGTGGCGCCTTCTGGGTTTAGCTGCTCAGTGTTTGGAGAAGGCATCGGCGGAGAGAAACATCTGGGGCTGCGGGCGGAGGACTCAGCAGGACCTGTTACGCTAACGAGTGCTTCTGTGTTTCCAGGTTTGAGGCTTGGGTTCGCTTTGGAAGTTAACAGAGCAGTTGTTGCCTTGCTTGATCTACAAGCAGCTTTTAATCTATTAGTGTTATTACAAATAAGAAAAAAAAGAGGTATGTACGTATATAATACTGGTTTAGTTTTGACTAAGACTTAAATTTTCTGAAAGTGGCACTGTGACGATATGGATCAGGCAACTAGACTTCTTCCTTGGCTCTTAAAGTCCATGTTTTTATAGGCTTTTTTTTTTTCCTTTCTGCTGCCAAGTTTTCCGTGGGTGATTTGGCATGTGCTCCCTTTGGGGACTGGCACAAGTCGATAAGCACTCAGCATGATGAAAGCAGTGTATATTTTACTGAACACAAGCAGTTGGTGCTCTCTAGTAATTCCCTTCATTCCAAGTCTGTCTCACTGGTCTGTTGTTCTTTTCCTCTAAATTAGCTGCAAAACTGCGGAGTGCTGTGTTAACACTAAGAGATATATAGGATAACAAAGTGCAGTTTGGCCTTGGAGTCTCCATTTTGAAGTAATACCGAGCATGCTATGCTGTCAGTAGCAAAACAGTTCAAATCTGAAGCCACTGTTTGGAAATTGGATGTGTTAGTGCCATTTATTACAAGAGTAATTATTTATTTTGTTTTAAACCCATTATGTTTAGATTTATGCAGCACATCTTAAACAGATTGGATGGGTAAAGTCACTAAGTGACAGTATTTGGCCTACTGGAGTATTTATTAAGATTCAGGAATAATAAATCTGTTTAGAGACAGGTTTTCTTGAAGCCTCGCTTGTATTCAAGTGTCTGTGCTTCTTGTATAAAGGATGTGGTTTATACAGTGTGATTTTTCTATTATCCTTTCAATGTATCCTATTGGGCATTGTTTCCCATTCGTATTACCCCAAAATATCTTTTGAGAGTAACAGGCTTCAAAAGAAGTATTACAGTAGGTAGAAGAGCGAAAATTGTTGTGTTTACTGATGTACTGTGCTTGAAGCCAGGCTTAAAAGTCAATGAGGCAGTGATTCACGTGTGTATTTGTATGGTAAATTTTAAGACTCATGCAGCTTTTTGACAGCACTGCCAGCCAAGTGTCTCACTCAGCGGCATGGTTTTCAAACAGCTGGAGCTGTTTTGTCCCAGATATATAAGCTTGTTTTAACTGCTCACCCAGTGTACCTTGCTGCAAATTTGAAAACTGAATTCATGTGAATGCTTTACTTCGAAGTGTCACCTTTGTATTTCTGCTTTCCAGCCTCCTTACTGAGAGATGAGGTGCAATTCTTATTTATAATATGCTGGTGTGTGGAACTTGCACTGGGAACATGACAGCCAGACACAATTCAAGATGTTCATGTTCATTTCCATTCTACTCATCTTTTGAGAACCACTTAATGTACCTGTATCATCATGGATAGTTTTCATACCTGCTCTTCACCATGAGGAGAGGAGATTCTCTGTTTTGCTTTATAGGTGAGGAGCTGAGACAGGGGTGAAATATTCCTGCCAGCTAGCCTTAGACACCTGATGTGAGACTATGCTTCTGTAATCAATATCAGTAATGCTCAGCACTGTTCCCTGGGTGTATTCTTTACTTTCATTTGAGATATCCAGGGAGATTAGAAGCTGGAAAGCCCAAGGAAAGATGAATCTAGGTGTAATACTCCAGGAGACATGCTTAATGAAGCAAAATTGGTCAAAATACAAATATGCTAAGTCTCATTCC